CGGGCCTCCAAAATAGCCTCTTGAGATGGCCCAGCGCATATTCGGGGTTGAGAAGGAAGGGAGAGTGTGAGTGTGTATGAATGTTCGTCCTAGGGAGAAAGGAGAGTGGCTCCAGGAGATTTGATTTTTCTTGGATTTGCTGCAGTTCCTTAAACCAAACCAGTCTTTCGGGCGTTAAAGTAAATTACCGGTAAGTGGGGACGGATCTCTGGTGGGAATTAAAAGGCCGCCGGGTTTGCGGAGTAGCGAGTTTCCCGGGCTTGCTAGTTGAGTGGCTTCTGGCCCTATCTCACCTAGTGGGTGGGGGTGGGGTGGGGTAGGTTAGGGGTGGTGCACGTGTCTTTGGCTTAAGGTGCTGGAGCTGGGGCATTATTCTTTGTAGGCTATGGGACTTGGAGGAGGTAAAAAGCTGTGCAGCACAGTCTTATTCTCAATTAACTCTGGAATTTCAGTGCCTGTCTCTTTGCCTCTGTTCTCTGTTTTTTTTTTTCCCCCCCCCCCGACACACACTCACATCCTAGTGGTTTGGTCTGCCTGTCTCTCTGTCTCTGTCTCATCCCGGCGCGCGCGCGCACACCATGTCTCTGTCTCTCTTCTCTCTCTTGCACACCCACAAACTCATACGGCCTCCCCCCGCACACACATCTTGGTTGGGTCTGTTGTTCTAAATTAACTCCAGATCTCAGTCTCTGTCTCTTTCTCTCTTCCTCTCTCAGATCTGTGTATTTCTCTTGCGCGCGCGCGCGCACACACGCGCACACACGCGCGCACACACACACTCCTCATCTCATGACTGCTTTTGACTCACTGATAGTTGCTCATAGATCTTTATTCATAGTTTGTTCTGCTCATGGATTTATTTTTATTCATCTGATTTTTTTTAAAGAAAAAAAGACCTACCTGTATTAAAATCTATAGGGTGTCAGAAACACCTTTGAGCACTCCTCATTCTCATTCGAATTAGGAATAGGGCAGTATGATGAAAATACCCCATGTAACAGCTGTTTATATTGGACAAAGCTCTAGTTCATGTTAGAATTAATATTTTAAATTGACGTTTTACAACCATGTGACAAAATAACCTTTGCCTGCATCTCTTCATCTCTCTTTGTGTTAATTTATAGAATTCTTGATTACTCAATTAACAAAGTGGTCAAGTTATCTTCTAATTTTAAACAACAGGTCTTGAAATGGTTGGCATGCAGATGGGTTCTGTGACCCCATCTGTTTAATAAACCGAACAGAGTGGTGTTGATCTGAGACAAGTACGTTTTGATTTCTAAATAACTTTTCAAACCATTGGGGTAGAGGGGCTCCTTACATATTTTCCACACAGGAGAAAGAACACTACTTGGAACAAATATTTTGCCACTTTCCCCCCACTTGTCCCAGTTAGATGCCTAGAAAAGATGAATGGTTGATGAATCATACATGGTTTACTTCCCTTTTATGTCTATAGGTGGCAGTGTAGAAGCCAAAACGGAGCTTGTAGAAGTGGTTTCTGAAAAATGAGTGAATGTACATGAGTAAGCAAGCATAGGAATCTGAAAAACCACAGGTATGTAAAATAATTAAGCCACCTCTCCAGCTTTATAATTATTGCATTCCAATATCTTGACTTTTATATAGACTTTTATGAAATGAAAGATATTTGAGGTGTTCTCAAAGGAGAAAAGTGTATTCTATTTCAGACAATGTATTTAAATAAAAATACGGCATGTCATCATTGCATTACTTGTTACTGCTCTAAAAAGGAAGCATTATTCTATTGTGACCATGTGGCTTTGCATTTAACTAGGTATTGCTTGATACTTTTAAAAATTTCGGGTGGTGAACACAATGCTATATACAGATGATGTATTATTGAATTACACTTGAAACTTATGTAGTTTTATTACCAATGTCATCCCCATAAATTTAATAAAAATAAATAAATAAAAAATAATAAATAAATCATCAGGAACACATACAAAATTTTCCTAAAGCCGTATAAGAACTGCCAATTGTCCTGAATAATTTCATTTGGAACACTGTTAATAGTCACCCAGTTGAGCCAACATAACAGTATCTGTTTTTTATAAAAACTGCATCTCACTGTTGACTTGCCATCTCACTCTTGACTTGCCATCTCACTCATCGGAATACTGATGCATTAGGTGGCTTTTACACCAGCTCTTTTGTTTTTAATTATCTTGTCATTTTTTCCCTCCTACCTTGCTGCTTTTCTAAGCCCAACATATAAGAGGTACCTTCATAATTCACCCACTTGACTGAACTAATGACAGGCTTAATATAGGATCAAAGACAATCAAGGTTGAAAAGTTTTTCAGTGTGACACAATTCAAAAGATTTTGCCTTTGATTATCATTAAAATGTAATATTTTGCATATTAAGGCCCTTTAAAATTATAGTTGACATACAATATTAGTTTCAGGTTTACAACATATTAGATTCAGTGTTAATATTCCTTATGATGTGATCACCAGAATAAGTCTAGTAATCATCTGTCGCTATACAAAGTTATGGTAATATTAAGACCCCCTTTTAACAACTGGGCAGCAGCACACTGTTATTTAGAAGAAGCCAGAAGAGGAAAAATAGTTACTTTTGTGGATTTTTATTTTCCTTCCTTAGAATGGGTAGGGGGAGGTATAGCTAATGCTGTTGTCTCAGGCTGTAAAGGATCAAGCATCAAAATGGCTGTTAGGGAGAATGAAACTTTCTCTTTATTCAAGGGTTATATGCATTTATTACAGTGTCAGAATGTGATATCTTGTGATTTTTGACATTCTGTATTTACAGCTGAGGAAAGATTTGTTTAGCTCTTACCAATGAGAATGTAAAAATCAGATGGCATTCTTGAAGCTTTAAAAAAAAGATGAAATTGAACACCTAACCAGTAGAAAGCAAATTGAGAACTCTGGCTCAAAGTATAGACTCAACTAAAGACTGAAAGTTTCTATCGTAAATAATGCTACAATGAACAAACGAGTGCATATATATTTTTGATTTAACGTTTTGAATTTCTTCAGGTATTTCTGGGTCATAAGGTAGTTCTATTTTTAATTTTTTGAGGACCTGCCATACTATTATGCTAAGTGAAATAAGTCAAAGATAAATACTATGCGATTTCACTTATACATGGAATCTAAAGAACAAAGTAAATGAAGAAACAAAAAGAAAACAGACTCATAGATACAGAGAACAAACTGGTGATTGCCAGATGGGGAGAGGGTTTGGGGGACTGAGTGAAAAAGGTGAAGAGATTAAGAAGCGCAAATTGGTAGTTATGAAATAGCCATGGGGATGTAAAGTACAGCATAGGAATATAGTCAATAATATTGTAATAACAATGTATGATGCCAGGTTGGTACTAGATTTATCAGGTGATCACTTTGAAGTTATATAAATGTCTAACCACTATGCTATACACTTGAAACTAATATAAAATAATATTGAATGTCAACTGTACTAAAAAGTGACAGAAAAAAGACAAAGATTCTCACTGTAAAGACCTATGGATATGAAGTGGCTTCAGGAAAGCTCTCAAACATTTAGAAACATGTAAGTTTGCACTGCATGGGACTTAGATTCGTTATCTGACTCAGAAAACTGGGAAATAACTAATCCCACAGTGTATCTAAGAGGAATGGGGTATAATTTTCTATGTCAGAAAATAAAAGAGCATGGTTGAGATTTTATTTCCTATTTTCGAGTTACAGCATTCTCATTATAAAGACATAAGGTGCTTTAGAGATATATTATTTTTGAAGTATAACGTACATACGAAAAAGTGTAAAATGCATTAATCAAAAGTACTGCTCAATGAATTTTTACATGTGTATACACCGATGTGATCACCACCAAGTCAACATACAGAACATTTCCAGCGCCCCAGAAGATTTCTTCCTCTTTCCCCTTCTGGTCAGTTTTCATCCTATTTTCAACCTAAAGGTAATCATATTATGATTCTTTTTTCACACTGTAATTTTTAAAAACTTTATCTGCTAGTTTCGTTTGCTATTAAGCTTCATATGAATAATATCATAAAAAGGACTCTTGTATATATCTTTTGCATAATATAATGTCTGTGAGATTCATCCATGTTTGTAATTCATTCTTTTCTGTTGTTGAGTAGTAACTCCATTGTATGGGTATATCACAACTTATCTATTTTCCTGTTGGGTCTTTATATTATTGCCAAGGTGGCCAGTATGAATAAAGCAGCTGTGAATATTCTTGCTTGTTTTTTTTTTTTTTTGGTGCATATACTCACTCATTTCTCTTGAGCATATACCTAAGAATGAAATCACAGGATCATAGAGTAGGCTTACAAGTAGCTTTAGTAGATATTACCAGTTTTCCAAAGTGATTGTATCAATTTAAATTCCACGAGTAGCGTACAAGAGTTTCAGTTGCTCTACATTTTTATTAACACTTGGTTTTGTTAGTCTTTAATTTTAGCTGTTTGTGGGAGGGGCGTAGTGGCATTTCCTTGTGAGTTTTTTTAAATTTAAAATTTTGTGTGGTAAAATATACAAAATATAAAATTTACCATCATAACCATTTTTAAATGTACTGTTAATGGTTTTAAGTATATCCACATTGTTGTGTAACCATCATCACCATCCATCTCCAGAACTCTTTTCATCTTGGAAAACTGTAACTACCCATGAAACAATAAATTTCCATTCTGTCTTCCAGCCCCTGGGAGTCACCATTCTGCTTTCTGTCTGTATGAATTTAAGTATTTCATACCAGTAGAACCATAGAATATTTGTTATTTTGTAACCAGCTTATTTCACTTAGCATAATGTCCATAAGATTCATCTATATTCTAGCTGTAGCATGTGTCAAAATGTCCTTCCTTTTTAGGCTGAATAACATTCCATAATATGCATATGCCACATTTTGTTTATCCATTTGTTGGTGGACACTTGGGTTGCTGCCACCTTTTTGCCATTGTGAATAATTACTGCTATGAACATGGATGTACAAATATTTCTTCAGGACTGCTTTTAATTTGAGGGGGAGGTACATACACAGAAGTAGAATTGCTGGATTATATGGTAATTCTATTTTAATTTGTCGAGGGACCACCATAATGTTTTCCAAAGCTGCTGCACCATTTTATATTCTCAAGAAAGTACAGACGTTTTAGTTTATCCATATCCTTGCCAACACTGGTTATTTTCTGTTTTTTTTTTTTCCTTTTTAACAGTAGCCATCCTAATGGATATGGGTGGTCCTTATGGTTTTAATTCATTTCCTGGTGCATAATATTGTTAATGACATTTCACAAGCTTATTGGCATTTGGATATTTTCTTGCCAAATTCCTGTTAAAATCCTTCGCCCATTTTTGAGTTGGATTGTTTTTTAAAATTTCTTTGTCAGAGTTCTTTTATATTCCACATGAGTACTTTGTCGTATATGTGTTACAAATAATTTCCCCATTTGTGATTTGCCTTTTCACTGTCTCATGGTATCTTAGATGATTTTTAATGAAGTCCAATTATCACTTTTTTTTTCTTTTATGGCTATTGCTTTTTGTGATTTATTTATGAAATCTTTGCCTACTTTGGGATTATTTTTTAAAACGTCCTTTTAAGTTACTGAAAATATGTAAAGGCAATCTGTTTGGAAGATGCAGTAAATTTAGTATTAACATATTTCAAATAAGTGCCTTATGAATGTTGGGGATGTTCTTTGCTGTAGCAGGTGCCAGAGGAAGGGTTTGAAAAAGTGGGTTTTTCAATAAGATACATGGACACAGATGCTGTTACTCAAGTGGCCCCTGTCACTGTCTCCCCCCTAATACTGATTATGTCCTCAGAGGGCCCCTCTAGAGTAGGCCCAGGGAAGATTCAGGTGATGACTTGGCTAGAAGAAAGTGGCAAAATGTATGGGCGTCCATGTTTCCTTAATTCATAATCTACACATGCTGAATCATCCTTATCCTTCCCCTCCCCTCTTCCATCCCCAAGGAGGGGTTCCTGCTATTTGGTGCTACTTCTTTCCTTTGCCTTTGAATATCAATGTCCCTCAGGATTCTGCCATTTATTAGCTTTCTCTTCTCTATTACATCTTTTTTCTGGATGCCCTGTGTTCATATTCACTTTCATGTCTTGAGCTGTCCTTCTCCCTCTGCCCCGTGTTCTAAAGACTCCTCAGGACTTTATCTCATGCTCCCACCACCTGTCCCTTAACATAATGTCCAGATCTGTATCCTTATCTATCTCCTGGACATATCCCACTGGGTATCTCACAGATGCCTTTATAAAAAACAAAAAACGAACTACAAAAAAAAACATGTTCCTCACCAGTCTGCTCCTTTGCTTTTCTGCCTTAATACATCTGCCATTAATCTGGCATCCCAGAGTAGAAATCTTGTCACTGTCCCTGATCCTCCCACATAACTTATATGACCCTCACGGCCCATATTTAGTTGGTTGTCAAGGCTGCTGGGTCTCCTGTCACTGAAACATCTTTCAAATGCCTCTTTCTTCCATTTGCACTAAAGCATAGTTCGGTTCCCTTTACAATTGTAGCCATAGCCTCCTAACTGATCTCTCTGATTCTTAAACTCTTGCCTCTAATCCTCCACTTGTCATCAGTTTTCTTTTCTTAAAATATAGATTTAATCATGTCATTTCCTACTTAAAAATGATTTGTAGCTCTCGGCCTACAAGAGGCATTCAAATCATTTAGTATGATTTACAGTATGACACCCTTCATTATTTGTCTTCAACCTGCTTTTTCTGTTCCATCATCTGCCATTTCTTCCCCACACACCATCTGTCCTAAACTATTTTCCATTCCTAGGACATTCCTTGAGTTCTTTCCTGCATCTACTTTTGCACATGCTGTTTTTTCTGCTTCTGATGTCCATTCCTGTTCATTGGTGACTTCATATTTTTTTCTTTAAAAACCAGTTCAAATGTGACCTCTTCTTTGACTAAGTAGACCTTATTCATACTTCTTTTAGTGTAGTTAGAAGAGATGACTCCATAATTGCAGGCACTATTGTGTATTAATTCATGAAGAATTAGTTCCTTACTATATCAGTTGGTTTTTGCTGCTTAACAAACTACTGCAATATCAGTTTGGTTAGTGCTTTAAAACAACCAGCATTTAGTTAGCTCTTGGTTCTGTGAATTGGCAATTTGGGCAGGACTCAGCTGGGCAGTTTTTTGAATCTGGGAAGAATTTCTGCTGTGTGGTTTTGGGGCTGGCTCATTTAGGATGGCCTCAGCTCCTCTCCAAGTGGTTTCTAATCATTAACCAGGCTGGCCCAGGCTTGTTCACACAATAGATAGCGGAGTTCTAAGAGAGAATGGGGAGGCATGCAAGGCCCCTTGAGGGCTAGGCTTGCAACTGGCACAATGTTACTTTCTTTGAATTCTGTTAGCTAAAACAAGTCACAAAGCCAGCCCTGGTTCAGGAGGTGAGGAAATAGATTTCCTTTATCTTGAAGATGGGAGCTGTAGTCATGTTACAAGGAGCACAGACAGAAGAATAATTACAGCCATGTTTACAAGTAATCTATTACATTTACCTAGGAACAGGAATATGAGATTAGGCCAGGCTTGGTCCAGAGGGTTAATTCCACTTAGGTCACAAGCTGGGAGGATAGTTATGACTGACTAATTGTACCTAATTACATCTAAGATGAACCCAACTATGGTAGCCCCATGGTTCTTAACATCCTCCTTTGGCCCTCACCTCAAGTTCCATGTCTTTACCTTTTATCCAAAGCATATTTAAGACAACTCCAGTTTCTTTTTGGCTTTGATGTTCTCGGGTGGGGAGAAAGGAGAAATGTTTCTTTCCTTCACTCTGGAAGCTGCTGTGGACACCCTTGGGCATTGGGGACCTTATCATTATGGAGCATTCTTGAGTATTTGGTATTGATTTGTCTCGCATCCAATTTAAAAGGCCTTTTTGGGAAAGGAGAATGTCAAGAAATGAAGAGATCTGTTTGGGGCTGTTTATCTGTGTTTTCCCTCATCATGTGTGATAATTGAAGATATCCTCTTACTGAGAAACAGTAGTAGTTTACACAATCTGAATGTTTGTGCTTTTACAGCTGTTATAAACTATTCAGAGTAGAAGCATAAATTTAAATGTTTTCGATTTATTACCTATTAAAAGATCATTTTTAAGCACTAGAGTACATTAGGAGGAAGTATTGTTGTAATAGCCATGTAGAAATTTAGTTGAAATATATATTGAAATTGAAGTATATGTTAGTAAAATACACTTAGTTGAAACATACATAAAGTGACCCCATTTTTCCAGAGATAGTATAATAACCATGGATAGGTTTGAGTTTTATCCAGAACTTGGTTTTAGTAAACATCTGTAAGTTTCAGTAGAGCTGTTAGAAGTAGTTAAAGAAAACATAAATTTTACATCATTAGAGCCCATTTCTACTAATCTTAGAGATCATGATAAACTGAAGTGACCAAAAAGCATAAAATAGGAGGCACTTAAAGGGCTTTAAGACCCCTTGTGACCTCTTAATGATCTCTCGTGTTTCCCTTCTGCCTTGGTCCACTTCCAGATTGGTCTCCAACACAGGCATGAAGAATCCACAACTTGAGCAATCCTGTCAGAATAACAGATTTGCTACTATTTATGGGTGAAAATAGAACTTGCACTTATTTTAAAAACATCTTGAAATTTTTTCTTATGCCTTATTTTTCCTTTTATTTTCAGAGAACAAAAGATTTAGTTCATATCTTGCTGTACTCTATAGATTGGTTTCTAATTGAATCTCTATATTGCATTTGCTGTTCATTTAAAATGACAGCATAAATTCAAATGGCAATAGTTAAATATTTTTAGAAGACCATGACAATTTTGAGTTAGAAAATCAGTATTTTTATCCCATAGCAATTTCTCAAATCAATTTTAACATTAAAATAGAATACTAATTGAGATAGCATTTATA